TATGATTCCATTAATTTTCAAGATGTAATATGTATCTCGACTGGAATATTATTTGAAGCACTGTGTCATGTATTTTTCTTTAAAGAGAAAACATTGCCATAGACATTTATCAGTTACAGTTATCTGCTTTTAACTCTTTATTAGTATGTTCACTTAAATGAATGGACATATGGATAGATGGCTAATTCTGTGACTTAATTATTGGTTAATGGATTGCAGCTTTTGAAAGTGGATATATTTATAGCAGTGAGGTGTGTTTTTCTGTAGATTAAAGTTGTGCAGTAAACCAAATTCACTTGTTCTTTTACCATATGTTGACATAGTAGATACATAGCTGAATTATTGGCTACTTATGTCTTCATATCAAATATAGTGCTAGTCTTTATCAAGTGTAAATGTGTCATCTGCTTATGTGTCCTATGACTATGCAATATTTTTTAATCATTTGATTAGCTGATCATAAATGCTGTTTGTCAAGAAAAATGCACAGTAACTATATTGTTAGTTGTTGACACTTAAACTTGATCCTGGAAAGGTAGGCAGTTATTAGTTAGAAGAACACATTCAGTCCAGGAGCTTGGTGATCATTAGGGTCAAACTCAGCATGGAAACTCTGCAAGGAATCAAACCACAACCTTTGAGGTTCAAATACGTTCAGCTGCTATGCTATATTTATTGTAGTTGCTATATGAAGAATATCGCAGGAAAATTGATTATGTCTTCCTTCTACATAAATAATACTTATATATCTATTTTACTCACATATCTATTATCACTGAGCAATGACCAAATAAAACATGCAAATAAATAATTACAAACACATTAAGCTTAGAGGATCAAGATGTAATGAGGGTGCTGCTCAAGCAACATGGTAATTGAAAACAGTTATAACACTTTAAATAACAATTTTCACAAACACAGAATATTGTGTGTACTATTGAAAAAAAAATTACATTTTAAAATTATTAAGAATTAGCTAAACTTTAATTAATTAAATAGACTCTACAAAACCTACAAACATGTCCTGACAAGACACTGGCAACATATCCTTTAAGTCTTTCAAGTTGTGAGGTGGGCCTGAATGGTTCAGATTTGTTGTTCCAGGAAATCTTGCAGTTGCTCAATCAGATTGAGATCTGGGGAATTTGGAGGCCAAGACTGCACCTTGAACTCTTTGGCATGTACTATTCCTGAACAATTTGCAGTGTGGCAGGGTGCATTAAGAGGCCACAGCCATCAAGGAACACCATTGCCATGAAGGGATGTACATGGTCTGCAACAATCTCTAGGTAGGTGGTTCATTTTAATGTAACATACACATGAATACCAGGACCCCAGGTTTCCCAGCAGAACATTGCCCAGAGCAAAACACTGCCTCCACTGGCAGTGCCTGCCTTCTTCCCATAGTGAATCCTAATGCCATCTCTTTCCCAGGTAAATGACGCACATACACCTGGCCATCCACCTGATCTAAAAGAAAATATGATTCATGAGACCAGACAGACTTCTACAATTGGTCTAAGGTTGCTCCCATCCCCATTGAAGGTGATGTACAGGGGTCATCATTGTCACTAGACTGAACTGCAGCAATGCAGCCCCATGTGCAGCAAACTGTGATGCACTGTTTGTTCTGACACCTTTCATCATGGCCAGGTTTTTCAGCAATTTGAGCTACAGTAGCTCTTCTGTGTGATTGGACCAGATGTACTAGCCTTCACTCTCCAAGTGCATCAATTAGCCTTGGGTGACCATGAGTCTGATGCTTTTTCACTGGTTCACTGGTTGTCCTTCCTTGCATCACTTTTGGAAGATACTAACCACTGCATATTAGTAACATTCAACAAGACTCCATTTTGAAGATCCTCTGACAATATTTACCCTTGTTAAAGTCACTCAAATTTTTTCATGTGTCCACTGACTACATGCTGATATATATAAATTTAAATAGATTGTATCACTCCTCCTGGGTGGTGTGTATGTGTGCAGAAAAATAGGGAGTAGGGCTGCACTTACGGTCTTCATGTAATATAATTCTTTATTAAATCAAAGGTCCAGGGTGAATGACGTTTCAGTCCCCTGCCGAGACTTTCATCAGGATTCTTCCCCAGAATATTTGATGTGTAGCTCTTTTGGTTCATTGTTACTAGACCATCACTTTGTTCAAAGTCAATGCCTAGGAAATGGTTCATCTTGAAATTAGCCATAAGCACTTTTTTTACATCCATAGCACAGTACGCTTTTTGGACCCCGGACTCGAACACGGACATATCAGTGTATGTTCGGGTTGGAGTTTGGTGTTTGGCAATTTAATGGCGTGTTTTGAAAGGCTGCAGGGCAGCCAATCAACAAGCGTTTGACTCGTGTGCCCTTAGAAGCCATCACAGCCATGCCTACTAATGGCATGGCTGTGATTGGCCAGTGCAGCATGAGACCCAGCCTCTATATATAAGCTGGAGTCACGTAGCGCCGCACGTCACATGAGCTCTTATTAGTGTAGGGACAGGATGCTGCAGCTGCGAGGGACAGATTAGGAAAGAATTCTGGTGTTGAATCTGCAAACTACAGCGATTATTTTTGTGGGTTCTATACTACATTTTTGTACCCTGCCCTGAGCCCAGTGCCACAGAGAATGCAGTGCACTTGCAACTGCATGTGTGCCAGGCACATTACTTTAATCCTGTTCTGGTAGCTCAGTGGGCAACATCTAGGCATTTTTAAATACTGCAATTTTTTTGGTGCTAAATAGTACATTTGCGAACTGCATTTCTTGCAGTCCAATAAAACCCTTAAATACTACTGTTACATTGTTGGTTTAAAAAATCACACTTTTTTGTGATAATAGTACATTTGCGGCCTGCGGTGCACTTCATATCTGAGAGTCAAATAGAAACGTCAAATACTGTGGTTACAGCGCATTTTTAAACATTCAAATTTTTTAGGTGCTAAATAGTACATTTGGTGTCTGCACTTCATATCTGAGAGTCAAATAGAACCGTCGAATACTGTGCTTACATTGCAGTTTTAAGCATTCAAATTCTTTAGGTGCTAAATAGTAAATTTGGGGCCTGCACTTCATATCTGAGAGTCAAATAGAACCGTCAAATACTGCTGTGACATTGCAGTTTGCCTAATTCACATTTTTTTTGGTGATAAAAAGTACATTCGTGGCGTGCACTTCATATCTGAGAGTCAAATAGAACCGTCGAATACTGTGCTTACATTGCAGTTTTAAAAATTCAAATTTTTTTTGCTGCTAAATAGTACATTTGCGGCCTGTGGTGCACTTCATATCTGAGTGTCAAATAGAACCATCAAATACTGTGCTTACAGTGCAGTTTTACTAATTCTAATTGTTTTGGTGCTAAATAGTACATTTGCGGCCTACGGTGCACTTCATATCTGAGAGTCAAATAGAACCGTCAAATAATGTGGTTACAGCGCATTTTTAAACATTCAAATTCTTTAGTGCTAAAAAGTACATTTGGGGTGGGCACTTCATATCTGAGAGTCAAATAGAACCGTCAAATACTGTGCTTACAGTGCAGTTTTACTAATTCTAATTGTTTTGGTGCTAAATAGTACATTTGCGGCCTACGGTGCACTTCATATCTGAGAGTCAAATAGAACCGTCAAATACTGTGGTTACAGCGCATTTTTAAACATTCAAATTCTTTCGGCGCTAAATAGTACATTTGCGGCCTGTGGTGCACTTCATATCTGAGAGTCAAATAGAACTTTCAAATACTGTGGTTACAGCACATTTTTAAACATTCAAATTCTTTAGGTGCTAAATAGTACATTTGGGGTGGGCACTTCATATATGGTGTATGTGTGCAACACTGGCTAGTTACCGCTTCTCAAGAAAGTCTAAAGACTTTTTAAAAAAGTGAAAAGTAAGTGTTATTGTGATCGCTTCATATATAGAAGCATTAATATACATTTCTATATTGTGTAAAGACACAACTACAAAGTTAAAAACCAAACACCAAAACAATGTGCCAGACAATCTACCTGTGCATGGCTAGTGTGATACAATAAGTCTACATCTTAAAAATGCAATAACCCACAGAAGATGGGCGAGAATTTTTTTTTTGCAAATGGAACTTTCGAATTTACTACATCGGTCATTTGAAATATTGATTCACACCTACAACACTTGTTAAACAGATCTAAGTGATAGAAAACAGATTGATATTTTCTACACTAGAAACTACCAGATAACAAGCTGCTAGATTTAAACCAGTTATCAATAGCTAAGAGCTACTTAAACAATATTGTAATTCTGGGGCAATACCCTCACAAGTCAAACTGAGAGGTCAGTTTATAGGTAAAACTATTGCCTGGATACAATTTGAAAAAAATTTCTATATGTCCTTTGCAGACTTTACATGCTGGAAAGACACAGGTGCCAACTGCTGTGGCATTCTGCAGTGTGCAGACCGGCAAGGAGGGAAGGGTTGAGGAGTGGGTTTAAGAAGATGTGGAGGATGATGAGGTCCTAGACCACACATGGAATGAAGGTCATGCGAGTGGCGAGTGCAGTTTGGAGGAAGAGGCGGTGGTCGCACAGAGGCACCAGCACAGCATAAGAGGGAGCAGGGTGCAAAAGCGGAGCATCCGCCCCCTAGTGCTCGTCGGCATGTATTAGCTCTAGAATTACCACAGTTATCCAAGTAACAGATGGAGCGATCAAAGGAACCATAACTGATTTAATGAGCCATTCGCAGTGTTACTGTAGCGGCTGTGCGCGCTTTCAGCATTCTCGTCCTGCTACTGCTCGCCTGTCTGCACTGCAGCGTAACTTCGGCCTTCCCGCTGACCGCCTGATTTGCGATATGCCCACAAGGTGTAACTCCCCCTTGCACATGCTGGAGTGACTGTGCGAGCAGCAGCAGGCGATAGTGGAGTTTCAGCTGCAGCACGCACGGGTCAGTCGCTCTGCACCAGACTTGCCCTCCAATAGATCCTCGTTAAAGAATTTAAGGTGGACTCATTCCAATTACAGGGCCTGTAAAGAGTCAGGAGTGGGTAATTTGCGCCTCTGCAGCCTTCCTTGGATGTGGTAGTCGTTTCTCAGGCTCCCTCTCCGGAATCGAGCCCTGATTCCCCGTTACCCGTGGTCACCATGGTAGGCGCAGAAAGTAACATCGAAAGTTGATAGGGCAGACATCCGAATGCGTCATCGCTGCCAGGTCACCGGCTCCTCAATCTCCTACTCCACATCCACCTCCTCCTCCTCCTAGAGCAGGGTGCAAAAGCGTAGCAGCCGTCCACTAGTCAGTACGCCTGCTACTGCCCACCGCACCCAGGGACTGAGCACACCAAAACCAGCTCCAAGGAGTTCCCTGGCGTGGCAGTTCGAATGAGGAGAACCCAGTTGATTCCTGTGGCACCTCCCGATAGGCAAACAGGAGATGGGGCAGGAATCTCTCTCAATCCTTGTAAGTCGCCCCAAAGGTACGGAGTATTTGCTTCAACGTACCGTTGAAGCGCTCACACAGGTCATTGGTAAGGGGAGCTCAGGATTGGTTTAATGTGCACAATCTCCACAGTTGGTGGGTCATTTCGGCAGTCAACTGGGTGCCCTGGTCTGAGAGAATCTCCTGGGGGAAAACCCATCTGGGAGAACACTCGCATCAAGGCTTCAGCCACAGTCGAATACTGCTCAGGGTACCGAGTCGCGTAGTCCATGATGGTCAAAATTTACTTCTTCCCAGAGGGACTAGGCTTGGCTAGGGGACCTATAATGTCGATAGCTACTCTGCCGAACGGATCTTTACTAATAAGTAGGGGATGGTCCCTTCTCTTCACAACTCTCTGGCAGACATCTGGCAGTACTGCCTCAGATCCTGAGAGATGCCTGATCAGAAGAAGCTCTGGGTGAGCCAAGACGCTGTCCGGCTCCTGCCCAAATGCCCTGCCAAGGGGATATCATGAGCTAGCTTCAGCAGTTCATACCAATGCTTCTTGGGTCTGGGGCTGGCGGTCTCTTACCTGCAGTGTCGTTGGGGAGCCCATTGAAAAGGAGGAGCCCATTGACGAGCTGGGTGATCTCCTCCAGGAACTTGGCTTGATGGGAGTTGAGCCAGTTCTGGGTGGCCCTTGTGATGCGGAATGCCCACTCTGCATGGGAGTCCTTCTCCCCTTTCTGGGTCTCCCTAAACTTTCAGCGGTATTGCTCGGGGGTGACCGCATACCGGGCCAGGAGGATTTGTGTAATAAAGGGATAGCCTCTGATCTGCTCTTCTGGTACAGCCCGGTAAAAATCCGCTGCCTTCCCCACTAGTTTGCTGGCCAGGATGGTGACCCAGTCACTGGGTCCAAGTCTTGGAGTAGGCACTGGTGCTCAAAGTCTTGTAAAAAGCCATTGATGCCTTCTTCTGCTTCCTTGAACTCTTTGAAGGCATTGTGTGGTAGCTTGTGGGCCAGGGTGGTTGTGCTTCCCGGTGCCCTGTGTTCGCTTCTTCCTTCATCTGGGTTCATGGAGGACGCCCTCTGTCTATTGGCAAGGACATAGGCTTGCACCTCCAAAAAGGTCCTGCTGATGATCTCCTCTGAGGGTGGCTCCGGGTAATATGCCAGGCACCGTTCCACCTCCTTGCGCACTTCCTCCTCATCTCCAGCCCCTGGCTGGGGTTTCGTTGCTTCACTGCGTGCCTGGTCTTCCTCCATGAGCGTGGCAGTCAATTTGGTATTGTTACACCCACCAGATGTTATTCCTCTGGCTCCACACAAGTCCTGCAGTGTAGGTAGCTTTAGAGCACTGTAGTCCATGGGTCTGTTGGCAGGGACATGGGATCCCGCCGCTTGCCACCAATTGAAGCGGGACCTGGGTAACCGATGGTTATCCCCTTTGATTAGAATAGGTACACAGCTTTGCCTTCTGTTGCCTCCTCCTCCTACTCTTCTTCCTCCTCCTCTACCACCTCCTCCTCCGGTCAGCGACCTTCACCGGTCAGCGACCTCCTCAACCTTCACCACCAACTTCGGCACAGCCAGGGGGAAACAACAGCAGGCTGTTTTAAAACTCATATGTTTGGGGGAAAAACCCCACACCACGCATGAGCTGTGGACAGGCATGGAACAACAGACTGATGAGTGGTTGTTGCCCCTGAGCCTCAAGCCCGGCCTGGTGGTGTGCGATAATCGGCGAAATCTCATAGCAGCTCTGGGCCTAGCTGGTTTGACGCACATCCCTTGCCTGGCGCATGTGCTGAATTTTGTGGTGCAGATATTCCTGAAAAACTACCCATGTATATCAGAGCTTCTGCAGAAAGTGTGGGCCGTCTGTGCGTGCTTTCGGCGTTCTCACCCTGCTGCTGCTCGCCTTTCTGCGCTGCAGCGTAACTTCGGCCTTCCCGCTGACCGCCTCATATGCGATGTGCCCACAAGGTGGAACTCCACCTTGCACATGCTGGAGAGACTGTGCGAGAAGCAGCAGGCGATAGTGGAGTTTCAGCTGCAGCACGCCCGGGTCAGCCGCTCTGGGGAACAGCACCACTTTACCACCAATGAGCGGGCCTCCATGTGAGACCGGTGTGGCATGTTGCGCTGTTTCGAGTACTCCACCAACATGGCCAGTGCCGATGACGCTGTTCTCAGCCTTACTATCCCGCTTCTATGTCTCCTTGAAAAAACACTTTTGGCGATGATGGAAGAGGATGTGGCACAGGAGGAAGAGGAGGAGGAAGAGGGGTCATTTCCACGGTTATCAGGCCAGTCATTCACAAGTGGCTCGGAGGGTGGGTTCCTGCACCAACATAGGCCAGGTACACAATTGTCCAGCATCTCCACACTGTCCCATGGAAGCGTTCAGCTGTCCATCTCCTAAACACTGGAGAGAAAGTACCACCTTACCCACCCGCGATCCCTGGCATTTCAAAATTTCTGCCCTTTGAAATGCTGTCATTCCGGCTGGTGGAGACGGACATTTTTAAAAACCTGATGGCGTTATTGGACTGCAAGAAATGCACCGCAGGCCGCAAATGTTTCTTTATATGTCCCAATATTTTGGGGGCTATCCTAATTAAAAACCAAACAAAACAAAAAAATAAATAAAAACCAAACAAACAAACAAATAAAAAATAGTGTTGGCTACCTCCTCCGCCGCTACTACCTACACCGCCATGGTCACCGCCTCCTCAATCTATGGGTCACTTAGTATAAACTATGTAAACAATAGTAGAGGCTTGTGAAGGCCTTTTCTCCATGCATCAGGAGTTGAGCTCAGTTTGAACAATTAAAGAGAATACCCTGCACTTACTCACCCCCTCACTAAGCCCCTTGTCACCACCTCACTAAGTCCCCCGTCACCCCTCACTAAGTCCTCTGTTACCCCCTGTCACCCCCTCACTAAGCCCCCTGTCAACCCTCACTAAGTCCCCTGTCACCCCCTCACTAAATCCCCTGTCACCCCCTCACTAAGTCCCCTATCACCCCCTCAGTAAGCCCCCTGTCATCACCTCACTAAGTCCCCAGTCACCCCCTCACTAAGTCCCCTATTACTCCCTCAGTAAGCCCCCTGTCACCCCTCACTAAGTCCCCTGTCATCCCCTCCCTCCCTGACTCTGCCCTCTGTCACCCCCTTGTCAACCCCTCCTCACTTGGCCACCTGTCACCCCTACCTGTCACCCCCTCCTTCCCTCACTCTGTCCCTGGTCACCCCTTCCTTCCCTCACTCTGTCCCTTGCCACCTCCTCACTGAGCCCCCTGTCACCCATTCCTTCCCTTAATCTAAGCCCCCTGTCACTCCCTCCTTCCCTCAGTCTGTCCACTGTCATCTCCTCCTTCTCTCACTCTGTCACCCCATCGCCAAGCCCCCTGTCACCTCCTCCTACCATCACTCTGACCTCTGTCACCCTCTACCTCCCTGACACTACCACCTGTCACCCCCTCCCTCAGCCACCTGTCACCCCCTCACTCTACCCCATTTCACCTCCTCCTTCACCCCTTCCAGTCACCCCTTTCGACACCCTGTCACCTCCCTCCACACACCCTGTCACTATTCCCCCCACATTCACACACTGTCAACACACTCCCACACACACATCACCCCTTTAACTCTGCCACACTCACTTTAACCCCTCCTGATCCTGTCACACTCACCCCCTCCAATCAAACCATACTCACCTCCCCTCACTCTGCCACACTCATCCCCAATTCTGTTTCACTCACCTTTTCTCTCACTGTCACACTCCCCACTCCTCTTCCTGTCACACTCCCTCATCCAACCCTGCCACACTCACCCTGTTGCATTAACACATCTAATTCTGTCACCCCCCCATTACTCTGCCACACTTACCCTGTCAATTAGCCCTCTTAATCCTGTCACATTCTCCTCCCCTTGCCCTGTTACAATCACTCCAATAATGCAATATACATTCCAACCCTGTGATACTCAACTCCCCAATCAAGCCACATTCACCCTGTCACATAAGCATAGCTTCACCATAGACAAAGTGCACAAAGACCACAGTCACCCTTCCATATACACAAAACAGCGCAAGCAGCTACCACACACATACGGTCCCAGACACAAACATACACATGCTCAAAGAAACATACATTCACATACAAGGGTACTTACTGTCAGACACACTCTCAGGCACATACACAGACAGACAATGCCAGACACATTCAGAAATACACACAGCCAGATAAACACATTGTGACTGCATGTCTGTATTAGTCAAAAAGTGTGTCTCTGTGCATCAGTGTGTGTGAATGCATGTGCATGCATCAGTGTGTATATGTATTTGTGCATTAGTGTTTAAATGTGTGCATGTGTCTGCAATGTGGTTGTGGTATGATATGGGCAATGCAAAGATAAACAACATATATATATATATTATATGCATACATACATACATACATATACAATACATAGGGAAACACATATATCATAATATACATGTTAAGGAATTTAGAATATGTGGAGAAATGTCTATGACATTGTATTCTTATCTGTAACTTTATTATTTAGAAAATGATTTTTTTAAAAGCCGAGCCAAAAATGTTCATTTTCCAAATGACCCCTTCACACTGGCACTTATGTATACACGACTGCCAGGCTATACAACCATACCCAGCAATCGTGTATAAATGATTAGATTAGATTATGCCATATCTACAGTCAAAGTGCTCACAACGCAGCGGCATAGGAAGCTGCGGCAATGCAAGCTTCTGGAGATGAATACAGAGATTACATCTTGTATCCAAAGCTGCAAGCTCACCCTGCAATATAGGTACAGCTCCTTATGCACAC